CAGACCCTTCCCAGACACAAAGCTCTCAGTAATGGAGAGCTTTCAGCAGGGCTTAATGAAAGGTGCTTTTGACTGACTGCTAAGAGAAGCTGATGTGCTCCAGCTACAAAAATGAGAAGATAAAAATGCCAATAAACCCCAGGTTCACACTCTATAGAGAGATGATTTGTAATGAGAAATAATACAGAGAGAGAAGTCAAGTCCTCTGTCTCCCTGTGTAGTTTACAATGTATTATCCTCTTGCTGATGACCTGCGTGAGTTTTTCCATGACTGAAGGGGCCTCTTCACCGGGGATGGGTAATAAACATCTTCCTCAGGCCCATTCTCATCACTCCACGTTTCAGTGTGTCAAGGTGAGCTCTTACAAACACCCCCTCGTTCTGCTGCTCTGGGCACACGTGTCCTGCAGGGGCTTTGCCTTCGGGGCCCTGGGGGCACCAGCAGCTCCCAGGGGAGCAGCACCCTCAGGGCAGAGCCCTCCAGCACCCCATCTTCTCACATACCTGGTTTGACTGATTCCTGGTTAAGAAGACTGAACTCAAGAGCTTGTTCTTCTCCAGTTAAAGTAACGGATAAATGGATAAATTTTCGATTCCTAAATTTTACTTTAGGTTGATAAAACGCTGTAATCAGGTCGGGAATATTTGGATTAAAGAAATAAAAATTAGGGTTTCTCAAGGTGGGCTCTGTGCTTTGGGAAAACAGCAAATCTTTTTGTCTTCCCTAATCAAAGGGATTGCAACCAGAATTAGCTGGATTATGAAATACAGAGTGATTTATTACAAAAGCTCTGCCTCTAAGCAAAAATCAAATTGGGCATCTGAAGCTTCACCCTTCATCTGAGCAATCCCTCATTTTCCAGCCTACTGTGTGGGCTTTGTTTTATTTCCTTTTTATTTCTGAGGAAAATTGGTGTTGGGTCTTGGGAGACTGATGGCTGGAGGGTTGAGCTTGGTTTTTTTCCCCTCCTCTTAAGAGTTAAATTGTGAATCTTGGGGCATCAGTAATATATGTTCCTTCTTCAAGGGCTGTGTTATTCTTCTGTAGCCTTTTCAGTGCAGATTAAACTGCTGTCGAGCTATTCAACCGCCTGTGGAGGTCAGGGAGGGTCAGCAATTTAATCCTTGAAATATGTATTTAGGTTACAAACTCATTATGATAAAAGTCCTAATATTTTCCCCCAATTCTTGCTTTGTGATGTGTCATTTACATTTCAAATTTGTCCTTTTC